ACAGTGTTCCCTTGCTGTTTCGCTGTTCGCTTACCACGAACTCGCTGTTTTGTGGTTAAGGTTTAGAATTAATATTGATGTGAGGTCTTTTAACTCCCGCCACCTCAGGCGGGAGCCCTGACAATTCGGTCACGCGCTGTGAAGCATTTGCTCGGTTCTTTGCAGACAAAGTCGCCTTGATCCGCTCTGGGCTGGACGCCATGTTAAATGCAGTCTCTGGGGATGTGACAAGAGCACCTGCTTGTCCTATTTTGATGGATTCTTTTCAGTTTGTGAAACCCGAGGATGTGGACAAGATACTTGGAGGAATGAGGCCCACCACGTCCATCCTAGACCCCTGCCCATCCTGGCTTCTGAGGGAGGCCAGAGGGGGATTGGCTGAGTGGGTAATGGTGATGGTGAATGCCTCCCTTCGGGAAGGCAAGATTCCAGCGAGCTTAAAACAAGCTATTATAAAACCGCTGTTGAAGAAACCATCACTGGACCCCACGAAATTGGACAACTTTCGGCCTGTTTCCAATCTCCCCTTTTTGGGCAAAGTCATGGAAAGCGTGGTGGCCTCACAACTCCAGGTATTCTTGAGAGACACGGATATTCTGGATCCGGCACAGTCTGGTTTCAGACTGGGACATGGAACCGAGACGGTCTTGGTCGCCTTAGTGGATGATCTGCGCCGGGAGCTAGACAGGGGGAGTGTGTCCCTGTTGGTGCTCCTGGACCTCTCAGCGGCCTTCGATACCGTCGACCACGGTATCCTTCTGGGGCGCCTTGCGGAAATGAGTCTTGGGGGCACTGCTCTGCAGTGGCTCCAGTCATTTCTGGAGGGCCGCACCCAGAAGGTGTTATTGGGGGACACCTGTTCAACACCACAGCCTTTGTCTTGTGGGGTTCCTCAGGGCTTCTATACTGTCCCCCATGCTGTTTAATATATACATGAAGCCGCTGGGTGAGATCATCCGGAGTTTCGGGGTGCGGTGTCATCTGTACGCAGATGATGTCCAACTCTGTCACTCCTTCCCACCTGCTACTAAGGAGGCTGTCGAGGTCCTGAACCGGTGCCTGGCCGCTGTAATGGTCTGGATGAGGGCGAACAAACTGAAATTAAATCCAGACAAGACAGAGGTACTCCTGGTCAGTCGCAAGGCCGAACTGGGTATAAGTTTACAGCCTGTGCTGGATGGGGTCGCACTCCCCTTGAAGGCGCAGGTTCGCAGCTTGGGTGTGATCCTGGATTCATCGTTGAGCCTGGATCCCCAGGTTTCAGCGGTGACCAGGGGAGCATTTGCACAGCTTAGGCTCGTGCGCCAGCTGCGCCCGTACCTCGGGAAGTCTGACTTGGCCACGGTGGTACACGCTCTGGTCACATCCCGCCTTGACTACTGCAACGCTCTCTACGTGGGGCTGCCCTTGAAGACGGCCCGGAAGCTTCAGCTAGTCCAGCGCGCGGCAGCCATGTTACTAACTGGAGCGGGACGCAGGGAGCACACAACGCCCTTGTTGTGCCAGCTCCACTGGCTGCCGATTTGCTACCGGGCCCAATTCAAGGTGCTGGTGTTGGCCTACAAAGCCCTAAACGGTTCCGGCCCAAAATACCTTTCAGACCGCATCTCGGCCTATGAGCCCACGAGGGCCTTGAGATCGTCTGGGGAGGCCCTTCTCTCGATCCCGCCTGCCTCAGGCACGTCTGGCGGGGACGAGAGAGAGGGCCTTCTCAGTGGTGGCCCCCCGGCTGTGGAACACTCTCCCGGCACACATCGGACAGGCGCCCTCCCTTATGTCCTTTCCGTAAAAGCCTAAAGACATGGCTATTTGAGCAGGCATTTAATTAAGTGCTACAATAGTTTGGTAAAGACGACTGGAACGGAATATGGACTATGAGATTGGTTACGATTCTATTATGAGACGGAGCGGATTATTTAGTGTAACTATATAACTGTTGTATTGTGGATATGTTGTTTTTGTTATTGCCTTTGTAAATTGCCTTTTATATGTTGTACACCGCCGCGAGTCGCCCTAGGGCTGAGAGCGGCGGTCAACAAATGCAGCAAATAAATAAATAAATAAATAAATAAATAAATAAATCTTGAGCCGGTAGATCGGCCAGGGCTGGTTTCCTCATCTCGCCTCCAGCAGCCTTTGTAGCACTGTCCTGGGCCTCCATGGCTACCAGGGGGAGATGCGGAAGCTGGCCCTGGAAGATCTGGTTGGATCAGCCAGGGCCGGCTTCCCCACCTCACCCCAGCAGCCATTGAGCCCTGCGGATGCCCTGAGCAGCCCTGCAAAGGCTGCTGAGGCGAAGTGGGGAAGCCGGCCCTAGCCAATCCAGGGGCAGGACAGGGCCTGCTGCCAGTTGGCCAGCTGGCCAAGTGGCGAGAGATTTCCCACTGCACAGGGGGCTTCTGGGAAGAAGCCCCCTGCAAGCAACATGGCCAACAGGAGGGCGCCCACTGCCGCAATGGCCCTTGCACGGTAAGTTGGGCAAGGCATTTCTTATATATCATCCCTACATCGCGGTTTTTCACTTATCGCAGGTGGTCCTGGAACGTAACTCCCACGATAAGTGAAGGGTACACTGTATATTGCATACTGCAATATTGCAAATAACAGATTATTGCATTGCGGATAACCACAAGATTGCAGAATATTTGTATCACAACTCCCATCAGCCCTAGTCCTGATATCTAATGATAAGAAATACAAGAGTTGCATTTGGGGGGCATATAAAGTGACATGGTGGGCAGGATTTGGCCTGCAGGCCTTGAGTTTGACACATATGTCCTAACTATTTATGTGTACCTAGATTGAGCCAGTATATAAGTCCCCATTCAATTGCTTTCCACGCCCAGACACTAACCCTAAACATTCAGTGTCATACATGGGAGTAAGATTTGTGTAATGCCTTCTAGGGAGGTCTGTTTCCTGTCTCAACAGTTTGTGTGCTTTGCTGCTGTGGATATAACAGAATTTCTTTTTTCACATTAGCAGCATTAAGAGGATTTGTAGAGTTGTTTTGTGAATTTGATGAAAAATATTTTTGAGCGTAACAAATGTGTGAATTATAGGAAAGTGAGGCAGGCATATGGAAAGGAAGGTAGGCATTCAGTCAAATCAACATTTACTTTTCTTGCTGCGAATGTAGCCTTAATATGAAAGCCTGTGCACAAATGCAAAAGGATAAAAAGTTGTAATAACTTAAATCAGGATTCTGGATTAAAATAGGACTATGCTCATGTTTCTTTACAAAAAGGTGTAATGTCCGGGATTTTATTATAGCGATGGCTATAAATAGCTAACAAAAACAAGGGAGCATTTCATGTAGCTGTTGGTTGGCCTAGTAATGAAAGGATTACTGCATCCACAGCATTTTGGTTCAAAAAAATGAGATGCCTGTGAAACGAAACATGATTTGAGTTTCATAGTGAAAGTCTTGTTTGATGGTTGAAGATACTGACCTACTAAAATGGTAGCATTCCCTTTCAGTTTGCACCAATACAAAGAGCTGATAGCTGAAGATTTGGTTTTGAAAGTTTCTTGAAGAAATAAAGAGTTAATTATGGAGTGCTCCATCTTATTGCCTCTTCTTTCTGACTTACTTCAGTGTAAATCAAGAATCTTTAACTGAAAAGTTGCTTATGTCTTGTTTCAGTGTAGAGCGGGCGTGGGCAAACTTTGGCCCTCCAGGTGTTTTGGATTTCATCTGCCAGAAATTCCAGCCAGCTTACTGGCTGTTAGGAATTGTGAGAGTTGAAGTCCAAAACACTTGGAGGGCAGAAGTTTGCCTATCCCTGGTGAAGGGGCTCTTTCTGTATGTAAATAAATGTACAATTCTTGTAAAGAGTTGCCTATCAAATACTTCCAATTGCATCACATTTTTCTCAAGGCTATAAATAAACTTTTAGAGGTAATAATAATTTCCTTCTATTATATTTAGTAGGAAAAGGCAGGGGAGCGAAGAAAAGGAAAGCATCTGGTTCTGAAAACGAAGGTGAATATAATCCTGGGAAGAAAACTCCCAAGGCACCGGCAAGCAAGGTAATATCTTGATAGCCGCCCCCCCCCCCTTTACAATTTTATGCCAAATATAATATTCAGTACATTGTAACTTGTTGTTTAGTTGTTATTTTGTTTATTAAATTAAATTAGGTTGTGTTATTTTATCAGATGTGTTTATTTTGACGTAATTGTCCGACAGTTGAATGTTTGCCTTATATGTTGGAAACTAACTGAGTCCCTTCGGGGAGATAGGGCAGTACACAAATAAAGATGATGATGATGATGATGATAATTATTATTATTTAGTGGGTGAAGGTGGATGTTATTTTTGCCTTTATTTTGTATACATTTTTTGTTTTATTTACCTGTGTTTTGAAACATGAATTTTGTAGAATGGTCACTGCAGGCAATCAAGGCAGCATATGTGAGATTTTCTTTGCTTATAACTTTTTAAAAATCTATTTCAAACAGAAAATGAAGAAAGCTTCCTTTGAACCCGACTCGGATGTAGACATCTTCCCCTCAGACTTTACCTCTGAAGCTGCTTCCACGCCACGAACGGGTCGGGCTCGAAAAGAAGTGAAATATTTTGCAGAGTCTGATGACGACGACGATTTTGCTATGTTTAATTAATTAAGTGCCCAAGGAGCACCCAAACTTCCCACAAAATACCTTACGTTGTCCTTTTTGTCCCTTTCTGTCGCAGACTTTTTGTACATTTGACTTATTTTATGTGATGATGTAATTGATGGTTTTTATTATCGTGTGTAGGCATTTTAACATTTTGTTCTGACACCTACAGTTTTAATGCTCTTTTTTACTCATTGAAATGTCATGTATTTGTCTGATGACCGGCTTGTAGAAATGTTCTAGAAAGCTGTGCAAAAGCACACATTTTAACTGTCAAACCTGCTTTTTGAAATGAAGTTTAAACATTAAAAAAAATTATAAAACTGTTTCCTTGTGTCGTGGAGGCTTGTAGGAACGAAACTTCTTTTGACACGGGGTTAAAATAAATATATTTTTTAATTCTTTGCCAGGAGATTTCCATGGAAAAAGGTAAACAGTATATGAACATAGAAAGCATTGTTAAACAATCTCAATGTACAAACAGAGCCAGTGAAAGTACATCACAGACTTGCTAGAATATATATATAAAAAAAATCCACTAGTGCTTTTAAATGAAACCTAAGAAACGGACACTTTTAAAAAACGGTAACCACTCTACCACATTTTCCACTCTGTTGTATGGTGATTAATTAACAAAGTCATTGAGGCAGGTGCCCTCCTCTGCTTTTGGGTCTCCTTCCAGTGTCGGAGTGGAGAGGAGGATTGTGGGCCGGAGAAAGGGTCGTCTCTCCAGAGTCGCTTTTCACTAGTGTCACCAACTCAGAGGTAGTGATTATGCCCGATCATCATGATCCCATGAAGGTTTTTTCCCCCCAATAGCTTGTGAACCAATAAACAAAATAGTACATTGTAACACTGGAAAGTGTTTCTGCCTTGAAGGCTAAAACCGAAGTAAAATCTTTTTTAGTATTTTTAAATGCAGAAAGGTCAACCAAGTAGTAAACCCCTTTTGTAACTCTTAAAGTGACATTAACAGTGGGACAAATTACATCCAAATAACTGATCTGGCAGTTACACTTACACAGAAGCTTCTTCTGCTAGTGCAACAAATTTCTTTGTATCTTTTTGCTGGAAAAGAAGGAAATACAAACCGAGGCCAATTTAAAAAAAAGAGCAGCAACGAGATTTCATCCTAACTAAATCAGAACATCCTTAGAACTTTATAAGCTGTCCATTTCATAAACGAGATGCCTGGGTTGTTTTAATGTATGCCAAAAAAAAAAAAAGAGTGGGAAAGCACCGAACATCCAGTATAGAAAGTACAGGCCCATATATTTGTATGTACAAGTCATTAGAGAAGAACAGCCACTATTTTTTAATCACTTGTTTGAGATCGGTCTTGTCACCTTGCAGTTGGGGGAGGATGTTCAGAAGTTAAAAAAAAACCCTGAAGCTTAGCTAGTTTTTTGTTTCATGAAATAGCTGGTTTAGTGTTTCGACAGTTTGTGATTTCTACTTAAGCTGCAAGGCATTTGCATGTGTGTATAATATACCTATCACAGATACATATGGAAAGTTCTTGGTCCTTGTTGCATTTTAATGGCTGTGTTAAGTCCAAAAAGCAAGCAGCACTAACAACAATTCTTGCCTGTCGTCCCTGTCCAGAGCAAGTTGGGAATGTCACACTGGAGTCTGTCTTATTGCACCAGTGGGGACTGACTGGCATGACTGGTATTATCCACTGAGCTTGGGGAGATGCTGGGGCTGTGGTCTGCCGTTGTCCCAGTTGAGCTTGGGGTCAAGGGCTCATGCCCTTCAGAGTTCTCCAACATTTCCTGGATAAGAGGTGGCATGGATCCAGGGATTTCCAATTTCAGAGTAATGACACGTTCAGCACCTTTTAAAGACAGAAAATGGCATTATTACCTACTGCAATCAGGTATTCTAATGAGCACACAGATACCTCCCACAAGACAAGGAACTCAGTCCACATTTGTTTTGTTATTTTATTTTATTGAGCGAACTATATATATGCATCGGGGTTGCTAAAGGGAGGCAAGCCCTTTCTAGAATCTGAAGTATGTCAAATAGCAGATCCCTGTCACGCTGTAGAGCACTGCTTCTTAAACTGTGGGTCCTACACTCCAAATGGATCCTCTTTGCACAATGTTGCGGTCCTAAAAAATTAGTAACTGAAAGATTTTTGAATGTTGTCTAGTGGCTGAGACATTTACATGAATCGGTTGTGCATCATCGACAGTGCACCCTGCAGAAGATGCTTCACCTGCACTTCATAAAAAGAAAAACCTGTTTAGCAAACTTTGCAAATGCTGATTTGTTATCAGTGAATATTTTATTTTTCAACCCCATTTTATATACCTATATATCCAGCGTCACGTAAAAATTTCTCAGGCCAAAAGGAGTTCCGAATGGAAAAGTTGAAGCCCTGCTTGCTTTTTAAGTATAGAATCACAGTGCAAACATTAAACACTGAAAACTAATGTGCTGAACCTCATTTGTAGCCTTCTAACACAAACTTATTTTCATGTCTGAGAAGCATCATAATGCTTAGCTGCAGAAAAACATGCTCTGCATTAACAACAGGCCTTTGATCTCTGATATTGCTGTTTTTAAATTGTTTTAAATTGTTTTAAAATTGTGTTCGATTTTAGCCTGTTCTTGTAAGCTGCTCCGAGCCCCAGGGGAGTGGCGGCATATAAGTTTGAATAATAAATAAATAAATAAATAAATAAATAAATAGAGATTTCACCTTCAAAATACTTAAGAGGGCTTTATGCAATGAATAGTCAGCTGTGCTCTTACAAATTATTTATATGATATCCCTGTATTTTAATGAGTGAAGAAGAGCGACAATTCTAGAGATCCCAGGATGGATAGCTGTAACGTTTCAATTGCTCAATTCCTATTTCTATATCTCTGTTTGACAATAAACAGAAATGAATACAGCTGAAAAATCAACTTCAAAGGAACCCTGCACTGGGAGGGAAGAAACTCCTGGCATGACAGAGAAAATGGGAAAGAAAACAAGATGTAGTTTGGGACCCTGGCTCATGAGCATATCAGAATTCAAATGCAGGAAAAAAGATTCCACCTAAACATTAGGAAAAAAAACTTCCTGATGGTAAGACCTGTTCTGCAGTGGAGTATGTGGTCTCAAAGATTAGTGGAGTCTCCTCTGGAGGTTTTTAAGCAGAAGCTCGATAATGTATTGTTGAAGGCTTTCATGGCTGGAATCACTGGGTTGTTATGAGTTTTCTGGGCTATATGGTCATGTTCGAGAAGCATTCTCTCCTGCATTTTTCCTGCATCGATTGCAGGCATCCTCAGAGGTTGAGAGGTCTGTGGAAACTAGGAAATCCTCCCAACAAAGGATTCCCCCAGGCAGTAAGAAGCCAGTCCTTGAAACTGCTAGGCCATTAAATGCTAATCAAGGTGGCCAATTGAAACATCCACGCTTACTTCCAACAGACAAGAGTTTTTTCTTTCACCTTGGACATTGCACAGATATATAAACCCCATTTTCCTAGTTTCCAACGAACCCCACAACCTCTGAGGATGCCTGCCATAGATGCAGGCGAAACGTCAGGAGAGAATGCTTCTAGAACATGGCCATACAAACTCACAACAACCCAGTAGCTGGATAGTCATCCATTGGGAGTGCTTTGATTCTGTGTTCCTCCATAGCAGGGGGTTGGACTGGATGGTCCTTGGGGTCTCTTCCAACTCTATGATTCTGTTATATGTGAATACATGGAATTTGGTCTGAATGACCTCTAATGCTTCACCTACAATTATGTGAAGAATTAGACGTGTTCAAAGTCAAGAAGAAAACACTGTTTGACAACTGATATTGCTCTTTACAAAGAAAACAGTAATAGTGAATTTTTACTCATCCAATTTTGTGAGAAACAGTAAATGTTTGAATTAAGTGGAAGAGATATTAGACAGAAAAATCCCATGAGCTTAATGAATTGGCTGCTAATTTAGTTGTGCAGAGTGATTCATTGTTTCTCATTGTGTACACAGGTTTTGAAGTTTATCCACTTAAGACAGTCTCTGAGGAGGTGTTGGAGAACAAGGATTCATAAGAGCACATTGTAGAATCCCACAGATACCCTGCAGGCACATTCAGACAGTGAAGATCAATAATATTGCCCTTCTGTGGCATCCCATGACTTACTTCTCTAAACAATTGTGACACTTGAGGGGAATCTTATAATTTGTTTTTGCAATTTGCCATCACATTGACTTTGATTTATGTGAGCCCTATGAATGAGAGGCCTCCAAGACCTGCAGTCATTAACCACTCTCTTCAGATGTCTTAAAGGGAGACTTATTTCTTGTAAACCAAAAATAAGAAAAAATTAAGGTGTTCTCAGATAAACAGCATGAAACCAGACAACTACCACATATTGAGAATTCATTGTCTTGCAACATCTTTAATTAATACAAGTGGAAATACATTGGGTTGCTGTGAATTTTCCGGGCTGTATGGCCATGTTCCAGAAGCATTCTCTCCTGATGTTTGGCCCACATCTGTGGCAGGCATCCTCAGAGGTTGTGAGGTCTGTTGGAAACGAGTCAAGCGGGGTTTATATATCTGTGGAATGTCCAGGGTGGGAGAAAGAACTCTTGTCTGCCTGAGGCAAGTGTGAATGTTGCAATTGGCCAGGAAAATACATTCTGGAATCGTTTTAAGGGGTGGGGCGGAGATTGTGTCCTCTGGGAAAACTCACTAAAAAATCTTGTAGTAAGTGGAACAAGCTTTATTTAGCAAAAAAGTGTTTGTGATTTGCAATGGACTGCAGCCCACAGGTGAAATCTCTGCCAAATAAAAACTTTACATTTTGAATGTGTTACAATAGGCTTTATTACTTTTCCTGACAAACATTTATTTGCTTCCAAGGAAATACAAACTATCTACCTGTTTGGTCCCAATACAAGGAAATGTGCTTAATTGACAGGACCTGTGTGGATATTGGTAATTTGGTAGTCTAAAGATTTCAGTCACAGTCGAGTGCCCGAAAGACAACTTTGGGTGATTTAGCTTTGGGACTGTGGTCTAATCATCACAACTTTCTTGCCAGGCAAGTATGTGAATTGTGAGCTCTCAGCATTTGCTAAAGAAGCATGGAGCATCTTGTTGGTATTTTATGCACATATACCCTCCCTTACATATAGAGTTGCACTATTTTTTACTACTGCACTGTGCCAATATTGACTTCACAGCTGTGCCAATAGAGAGCTGAAAGTATAATTACTACACATGAAAGCACATGTTCTTGGATGGTTGATGCAGAAAAACTCACCAGTGCCTTCAATGTACCATTTGACTCACTGGAATTGCAAGAAGAGCAAACACATTTGCAGATAAAAGGATGTAGCTGGCTGCTCTATGTAAGTTTTTAAGAGGATGGAGTAGTAGTGCAACTCCATGGGCATAGATTTATACAACACAAGCATGCCAGGTTTTAGAAGAGCTCCAGACCTATAGGGGCCTATTCCATAGTTGTATGTGCCTTCAGGTCACCTGTTGAATCATAGAATCATAGAGTTGGAAGAGACCTCATGGGCCATCCAGTCCAACCCCCTGCTAAGAAGCAGGAAAATCGCATTCAAAGCACCCCCAGCAGATGGCCATCCAGTCTCTGTTTAAAAGCCTCCATAGAAAGAGCCTCCCCCACACTTTGGGGCAGAGAGTTCCACTGCTGAACAGCTCTTACAGTCAGAAAGTTCTTCCTAATGTTCAGGTGGAATCTCCTTTCCTGTAGTTTGAAGCCATTGCTCAATGTCCTGGTCTCCAGGGCATCAGAAAACAAGCTTGTTCCATCCTCCCTGTGACTTCCCCTCACATGCCCAGCTCTTTAAGCTGCTCCTCATAGAGTTTGTTTTCCAGACCCTTTATCATTTTGTTGATCCTGGTTGACTTATAATGGCTCCATGAATTTCATAGGCAAGGGTTTTTTAAGGCAAGGTGGTTTTGCCAGTTCCTTCCTCTGAAATATAACCCACAGCACTTGGTATTTGTTGGCAGACTGCCCAGCAGTACTCATTAAGGACTTCATTACATTAGAGCATCTATCTGCTTTAATTTGGTTGCTGCCTCCAGCAGAATTCTGAGGTTTGTTGTTTAGTGAGGTCCAGGACCTCTTTGGCTGAGTAGTTTAAAAACCCTTCCCTAAACTACAAACCCCCAGAATTGTGCAGTAGGCAGCAACCAGATTTAAAGTGGATAGATGTGCTAGGGTGATGAGGTCCTAGGGCTCATCCTGCTTAACTTCCATGATCAGCCAGAATTGTGTGCCTCTGGAATATTTTGACTTGTTCCATGACTACGTGCGGAATAATTATTATTGCCTAGATGTGTGTTGTGCATGACTCCAAGCTCATCAAGGGGTTTCTTGGCAAGAGTTTTTCAGAAGAGTTTGCCTTTGCCTTCCTCTGAGGCTGAGAAAGTATGACTCGCTCAAGGACACCCAATGGCTTTCCTAAGCACAGATTCAAATTGTGGTCCCCAAAGTCCAATATCCAAATCATTACACCCCACTGGTCTAATTGCTTAGCAATTTAGCCTTTGTATGCTGCCTTCTACATTGCAGTGGAAACTACAAACCTTTCTCAACTGGAAAATCTTGTTCATGAAATTAATCTTCATTTAAATCAGGAACCTTATAGATGTTAGATGGCAGCTCTCAATATTCCTAACTATGCTATTTACGATCTCATCACACAGATTACCTCCCCCCCCTGCCCCCCGTCGCAAAACAGCAGGAATGTGGGGTGACTGTCACCCTGTGCACGGCTCCTGAGTGGCACTGTTTCCCCATCACACAGGGGACATGGTGCCAAAGTAGTGCTGAAATGCGCTGACTCTATTGGTGCCAGCACAACACAGGAGCCTTCCAATGTTAGGAGGGAAGTGTCCTATGAAGCTTCCAGTATGATTTGGGGTGAGGCTTCAACAGCAAGTCCAGCAATGTCATGTGATGTGCAACATGCTCATTAGTTGCTGGACTGTTTAGCATCCTAGGACGCTAAAAAAGGTACGATAGTCTGATGAGAGTTGCCATCCTATGAAATTGAGGAGGTCACACCCCTTGTCCAGTCTTCATTTTCAGTAGCCACTTGGATTATGAATTTTCACTACTGTATATGCACTGCACATCTACCCTAATCCTGTACAAATTTAAGACTGAGCACATAAGCACTCAATTCTTCACCACAGGAACAAAAGACTCTTAGTTAAATTAGATTTGGGAATCATAATAATACCATTTCTCTAACAAGTTAAATTACTCAGTGGGAAAGAAAGTCACCCTTTATTTCATTTCAAGAAAATATGACGTGCTGTTTTCCATCTGTTTGCTTAGAAAACAAACACAAATACTAAACATTGCATGGAAGGAGACTATAACTGCTCATAACATACCTTTGGCGCTGATACTGCGTAGATCTGTGATTTTCATTAAGATCTTTGGAAACATATGAGGTTTGTTGGGTCTTCTCTTTCTGATGTATATTTTCAGTGCCTCCAGCAGTGGCTCCTGTAGTTCATCCACTTTTGCTGGTTCTTCAAGATCCTGACGGTCTGGATAAACACACAAACTTAGTTAAAATAATTATTTTGGACTTGTCTTCAGTTGTCATTACGAAATGCTACTTTTATCACCCTATATTTCCTTCTTCTCTCGGGCGTCCATAATCCAAATCCAATCTAATCCTGAAGTTGTTCTTAAACTATAAATGGAAATTTCCTGCATTTCTTTCTCAATTGTTCTCACTATCAAATACATATTTTCTTTAGAGACCATTGACTAAGTATTATTCACCATTTTAAATCTGGAATATGACAAAACCAGCAGGTTAACAGTCAATAGTCCGATATATTGTTTTATTTAAAGAGTGATTTTTTTTTACAACTCAATTTTGGACCTCTGCTATTGCCTAGGTCTGCCAGCAGGTGTCAGCAAACCACTGAAATAAAGGAAGAGCATTTCTTTTAATTCCCGAGGACTTACAAATCCATCAAAGACCAAGAATTGCCACTAATGCTTCCTGTTTAACATATCTCCTATCAGACTGCGCCTCAAGCAATATGTGAGGCCAATAGAAACGTCTTGTTCAAATTAAAGCTCTTTAGAATTGAGAGGCCGGATTTCTGAAATGTTGGTCATCCCACAATTTTCTGACTTTCTAAAGTGGGATTTTAGATTGGCTCTACCACTGTATTATCAATATTTCAACATGATATGCAGCTATTTCTGCCTTCTTTCAAAATCTCTTGGTACAACTATAGTACAAGGCTAGATGAAAAATGCAAAATTTGGTCCTGGATTGAGAGATTCTGTAGCAGCAAAATGTATTCCTTCTGTTGTCTGATTTTCAGTAGCATCAATAGATCTACACTGGCCTAATATACCGGTGATGATTCCTCTGTGTTGAAGTATGCAAATAATCAGTGAGAGTGTGTATGTAAAACTGTAAAATAAGATGCATGAAGCTTTGGTTAGACCACACCTGAAATATTGTGTCCAATTCTGGGCACCACAATTCAAGAGAGATATTGACAAGCTGGAATGTGTCCAGAGGAGGGACTAAAATGATCAAGGGTCTGGAGAACAAGCCCTATGAGGAGTGGCTTAAGGAGCTGGGCATGTTTAGCCTGAAGAAGAGAAGGCTGAGAGGAGATATGATAGCCATGTATAAATATGTGAGAGGAAGCCACAGGGAGGAGGGAGCAAGCTTGTTTTCTGCTTCCCTGGAGACTTGGACGCGGAACAATGGCTTCAAACTACAAGAGAGGAGATTCCATCTGAACATGAGGAAGAACTTCCTGACTGTGAGCGCCGTTCAGCAGTGGAACTCTCTGCCCCGGAGTGTGGTGGAGGCTCCTTCTTTGGAAGCTTTTAAACAGAGGCTGGATGGCCATCTGTCAGGGGTGCTTTGAATGCAATATTCCTGCTTCTTGGCAGAATGGGGTTGGACTGGATGGCCCATGAGGTCGCTTCCAACTCTTTGATTCTAAGCTGATTGGTTGGGCAATGCCAGGGGAGCAGGCTGAACCTAGGACTTTTGGTTACTGTTACATTTTTAGTTCAGGCTTGAGCTATGCATGTGCAAAGAGAGAAGAAGAGAGAAGCAGAAAGAGACAGAGTTCGGAGTGTGCTCTTGCTTCATGAGCTGCTGAAGGAGTTTATCCACATGGAAAAAGAAATACTATTTTAAATCTCTTGTAAAAGGACATTATGTGAGTTGATGCAAGCGATCACATTGTACATATGTTGTTCTGAATTAAAAAGAGGAAACTACTTGTTCTTTACTGTTCACCTGTGTGGCATGTTTTCTTTCTCTGGCAAGACAGTTTATGGGCTGATCAAACATGAACTACACATGGTTTATTTTACATTACGCCACACTTTTCTCCCTTCTTCAGCTAATCTGTCACTTCAGGTGAGGATAGACAGCAAGGAGACCACCACAAAACAGAGGATGGTAGGGAATAGTAAATACCACCCCATGTTCCCAGGTTGCCCGAGCCCAGGAAACATGAGATCTCAGTGAGAATAGTTGTGTTTCGTTCTGTTCTGGAACCGACCCAAGTGTTCAGATGGGCCCAAAGTTGGAGAATAATTCAAATTCTGGGCCAGAGTTCAAACAATCCCCAACATTGGTTAAAGTGGGGCAAGGTTGCATTAAGGTAGTCATATCCAGCATTACTGCAGCTCATCTTCATGTGGTATTTGGCTGCCATTGAATTGATCTGGGCACATTCTGACCTAGGAGGTCAGTGAAGATGTGCTCTAAGATGCGGCTGAAGGGAGACAAGCTATAAGCATGATCAAATACAGACTGAAATTCCTTCAGAGCTTTTCACTCTGAGGTTGAGGACTGTGAAAAAAGGGTAATTCAGTGCCACCTCTGTATCCTAGCAATCTTTATACAGAATTGGAAAAACAGTTTGTACTAGTTTTGTAAAGCAGCTATGAACTATTTCTGCAACTAGATCTATTTGGACATGATGGTTTTAGCAACAGGAAATAAATGGACAATGTTTTGTTTTTTTTCGTGGCTGGAGCGATTTGAAAAACTGCACGTCACTTCTGGTGTTAGAGAATTGGACGTCAGCAAGGATGTTGCTCAGGGGATGCCTGGATGTTTTACCATCCTGTGGGAGGCTTCGCTCATGTCACCGCACGAGAAGCTGGAGCTGACAGACAGGAACTCATCCCGCTCCCCGGATTCGAACTCCGGATTCTCTCCGCCAACCTTTTGGTCAGCAGTGCAAAATCCATTGCGCCTCTGGTGGCTCCTCTATGGACAATGTTAAGACGTTCTGTTATTTCTGTTTGACCTAATGACAATTTGGCAAGGTAGCTAGAGGTCTAAAGACTCTTAATCATACCCTTTTTATTAAAAGCAGATCATATAGGTATGAAAATCTAGATGACTAATGCCCTTTTCAAGGCTCCACTGCTTTGAAGTAGTGTGTTGAAGACATTGGACTTGATCCTTATGATCTCTTAACTATTGCCAAGTTTCTCATCTGAAAGATGTTGGAAAAGGCGGTGACATCTCAACCCAAGGTACTGATTTCCTGGATCCATTCCAGTCTGACGTTGGATTTGGAACAGAAACAGCCTTGACTGCTATACAGTCTTATAAAAGCAAGTAAGTGCAGGGGAAATGCAACTGTATTGCTTTTCTTGGGAGTTTTTAATATCCACAGCTATGCTATCCGTTCAGATTGCCTTCTAGGGAAAACCTCAAAAATTAGGCAGGGACACTTCCTGTGTGGACATCTACTCATGGAAGGAAGCTGCCTAGTTTCAGGTTATCTCTTTTACCACCTGTAGTACAGTTTCCTCTATTTGGAGGAGTCTTCGGAACCCTCTTTTTTAAATGCTTAAGATAGGGGCTGATAGAAGGAGGATGTAGTTTTGAAAACTGGTTTCCATCAATGTAGCTGAATGCATCTGACTCTGGAGCCAAGCCACTGTATCCCTGGACTCGCTCCGTTCCCCATTTCAGGACATGAAAAGCCAAAGCAGTCCACTGAGAACATCTGGAGCAATGCAAACCTAGTCTTCTCAAAAAGCATCGATCTTCCTTCGCTCAGCCTTCCCTAAGGTACAGCTCTCACATCCGTAGGTGACTACAGGGAATACCATGGCTTTGACTAGGCGGATCTTTGTTGCCAGTCTGATGTCTCTACTCTTTACTATTTTATCGAGACTGGACATTGCTCTCCTCCCAAGAAGTAAGCGTCTTCTGATTTCCTGGCCACAGTCTGCATCTGCAGTAATCTTTGCACCTAGAAATACAAAGTCTGTCACGGCCTCCACATTTTCTCCCTCTATTTTCCAGTTGTCAATCATTCTTGTTGCCATAATCTTGGTTTTTTTGATGTACATACATACCTCCACAGATTAAGCAGATGGCACTAAGAAGGCCAGTTTCTGTGTCATCCATTTCCAAGGGTAGGAGCTGATTGGCAAATGTGAACACAAGATCAGTCAGGGGACCAAATCCAGCGTTATGCATCTGAGTTCGGTTGAGTGTAAGGCCGTCAGAAAACGTCATTGTGTCTTGTTCAGGGGTATATCTTGTGCAAATTCTAAGGATCTGCAAATAAAATAGCCAAACAAAACTAGATTAGAAATCCACATATTTTGATGCATTTTTCTCTATTTTTCTCTATTGATTCATCCTTTAGACGTTTTACTGTTCTGGGGCTACCAACTAGCTTTTTTTTTCATGTCAGGAGCGACTTTAGAAACTGTAAGTCGCTCCCGGTGTGAGAGAACTGGCCATCTGCAGAGATGTTGCCCAAGGGATGCCCGGATGGGAGGCTTCTCTCATGTCTCCGCATGAGAAGCTGGAGAGCTGACAGACAGGAGCTCACCCTGCTCCCTGGATTCGAACTGTTGACCTTTGGTCAGCAGTCCTACTGGTATAAGAGTTTAACCCACTGCGCCACCGGGGGCTCCATCCATCTAGCTAAAGACAGATCATTCTTACCTGTCAAGACTGTAGCAAGGAAATTAAGTATAGGTTGTGCAGTGTGTAAAATTTGTGAGGGTTGGTAAATGTGAATAAGCAGAAGCATTAACACAGTATTTAAACCAAGATATATCCTGCTGTATAATAAAATGTCACTCAGGCTTGTATAACAAGTAACAGTATCTTTATTTTAGTTCAAAAGTCCAAACAGGGTAACAATATATACATTGGTCTCTTTGAATTCAAGCAGGGAACAGAGGGTTAAAATAGTCTTTTAAAATAGTCTTTTGAAATATGTCTCATGCCATAAAATGATCAGTCCTTAAGATAGTTGGCAGCCATCACTTTCCCTGAGAACACGACAGAATGACAGTTAGAACCGTTGGCCTCAGCAGCTAGCCAGAGGATGTCATTCAGATCCCCTGGCCCCTGACACACTCAGCCAATCGGCTGCTGACATATCTCTCTCCAGTTAACCCACCACATCATGGCGTCCTTTTTCAAATCCTAACAAAATTTCCATCAGCATATCACCAGTGAACATGTGCCCTCATTGGCTCTCTAATACAGTGCATGTTGTATGACCAGAAAAAAATAGCTATCCTCTTTCTGACCCCTAAGCATGCTGGATGGCTGTATATTATGTCGCACCGGGGGGATAATGTTGTGCAAGAAGGTACTTGCATATCTTCTTCCATGATGACAGAAAAGTACAAATACCAGCATTTGGGAGGTTATGACAGTTAGCCTCTGCTACAGAATTCCAGCTTTTGATTATAGTGGCGGAAATCCTGTTTTGAGGTCATTGTGTTTTGAGGTCATTGTACAAAGAGGCATTCCAATAGATATGTGTTTTGAGGTCATTGTGCAATGAGGTATTCCAATAGATATGTGTTTTGAGGTCATTGTGCAAAGAGATATTCCAATACATATGTGTTTTGAGGTCATTGTGCAAAGAGGTATTCCAATGCATATGTGTTTTTAGATCATTATGCAAAGAAGTATTCCAATGCATATGTGTTTTTAGGTCATTGTGCAAAGAGGAACTCCTCCCCATCCCACCGCATTTCCAATGCAAATAAATATGTCAGAGGAATGAATGTGAACACTGATTTAATTTCAGCCCTTCAGGCATTTCCTAGCTCCTCCAGGGTAACTTCATGGTATTCTTCTGCCAGGCGTCATTCATTGGATAGAGTTCACTATTTCCCATGGTTTTGCATATCTTCACGAAGTCTCCTAGGACCTCTGTACTGAAAAGATGGGAGCTTCCAATCTCTCCAGCAGAAACAAATAAATGCAGCATACCCTATGCAACACCCTTTCTGATTTTTTTCTCCAAAACTACACATAATTGACTGCAATCTGATATTATCAAGGAAGGCATGCAGGAAGCTTTCATGCTGACTTATTTATGAAGAGTGGGTGGAAAGGAATCCAACCCAGGAAAACACAACCCAAGATATTCCAGGAGCAGGCTGAGTTGGAGTTTTCAAAACTTCAGGCTATTTGTTTCCACTGTTAAAAATAATAAAGGGGATGATAAGCCAGCCGCATTCACACTCACTCCCTTTGTTCTTCAACCCCTTCTTCACCAGGATTTGCTTGCCTGCACTTTCCGCTTAGCTTTAAAGATGCAATGGCAAGCAAAAGAAATGAAGCCTATTCCAATGCAGCTTAATAATTATTTCTAAGGCAACTGATCCTGCCTTGAAATGCCTCGCATACCTGGAGGCTGAGAATTATCTTGGTTGCTTCATCTCTGCTTGGCAACACATACTTCACAAAGACGCACAAGGAGATTTGAGAGAGTAAAGGCATTTTGATTTCCAACAAGAAGTTGTCTTTGGTGCCTGTACACCCTGTATAGTGAAGCTGGATCTTGGCCTGCATAAATAGGAGCATAGTGTCTAGATCTAAGGAAGTCATTCTGCCTTAGTTAGACCACACCTGGAATACTGTGTCCAATTCTGGGCACTGCAATTGAAGAGAGATATTAACAAGTTGGAATGTGTCCAGAGGAAGGCAACTAATTGGAATGTGTCCAGAGGAAGGCTGCCCTCAAATTCAGCTATTCAGCCAGTCTTCTACCTATTGGTTTTGCCTACTTTTCATTTTGTGCTGAGCAAAGCATCTCCTTCTTATTGTGTCTTTGCAATCCAATGCCTCCCATATACATGGGAACCTCTTTGCCTGATGTGCTATATAAAGCTCTATGTGCATATAACATACTTCTTCATGTCAAAGTCAAAGCTTCCCTTCTTATGGCATACAAGATTACTATCCCTTTTCTAAAATGCTTGTGAACCAAAGTGTGATCCTGTTTGTGTATCATATTTGTGTAACCTAGGATTAGCCAAATACAGTCCATGTATTTTTTCAGCTTGTTGCAGAAGAAAGTATTCAGTACTCTGGGTTGTTGTAGGCTTTTCGGGCTATATGGCCATGTTCTAGAAGCATTCTTTCCTACATCTATGGCAGGCATCCTCAGAGGTTGTGAGGGCTGTTGGAAACTAGGAAAATTGGGTTTATATATCTGTGGAATGTCCAGGGTGGAAGAAAGAACTCTTGTCTGTTGGAGCTAAGTGTGAATGTTTCAATTGGCCACCTTGATTAGCATTTGATGGCCTAGCAATGTTTAGGTGTAGCTTCTTACTGCCTGAGGGAATCATTTGTTGAGAGGAGATTAGCTGTCCCTGATTGTTGAGAGGTGATTATCTATCCTTGACTATGCAGTACTCCTTGGGCAAAGATTCTCCCAGTACAACCAAGCTCTCCAACACAGAATGGATTCCATGGTCAATAGTTGGCCACAGAATGCCAGGAGTTGACCAGGTATTAAGCAGCTAAGGTTCTAAATCAGGAGGTCAGAGAAGAGGTAAAATGCCTGAATCGACAATGTATCTACATATACTTGCTGGAGATCTTAGTAGATCTTGAAGGATGTCATCTTCCTTCTTCTCCTAGCTATGAAATCAAAGCTGGGTACTGCCCATGTGTCCCCTAATCCTACAGACATGAATTGGTTGTGAGGCTGGTTGCATTGGGGTGGAATGGAAAGGTAAGTTGAAGTGCTGCATGCCACTAGCATAATGTGGAATCTCAACTATGTCTAAAACATATCCGCACAGACACCATTCAAATGGAGTAAGCCTTTGTTCACAATAGAGGGCATAAGGGAGGGAAGCTGTTGAATATAGTGATCTGTTGTATGTGGAAGGGGAGAGCCTTCCAAAATTGGGCAGGGCATCTTCTACCATCAAAGCACCTTTACCTGCACAAAAACAGTCCTGGAGCTAACCTCATGACACATTTTGCAATGAACAGGTGGGCCCAAAAATATTACTGGGTGGTAGAGAACAAATAGCCCTTTCCAAGCACAATTCCAGAACAATTTGAATTTGCTGTGGAAACAAACTGGCAGTAAATGAAAGGAAAATGAATACAAAAGTACAATTTTCCAAAAAAAAACACACACCCCCCCACCACTACTCTTGATCAGCATTTTGGAAATTCCATTCAGCACCAGCAGAAGTTTCCAACTTTGTTCTGCTTATGCCTTCACAAAGGCCTAAATCTAATCACTCATTCCAATTAGTGTAGACCCAAGGAATCAATAGATCCATGGTAAGTCAACAGTAATATACGTTCCATTGATCAATTGTCTACCCTAGTTGGAATCAGTGTTTGGATTCAGGCCACAGTCTTTCCTTTGTATTGTCGAAGGCTTTCATGGCCAGAATCACTGGGTTGTTGTAGGTTTTTTAGGGCTATATGGCCATGTTCTAGAGGCATTCTCTCCTGAAGTTTCGCCTGCATCTATGGCAAGTATCCTCAGAGCTGGCAAGCTACATCAAGAGAGAATGCCTCTAAAACATGGCCATATAGCCCAAAAAATCCTACAACAACCCAGTCTTTCCTTTGCATGCTTCTGCTCACTGTTGTGTGTCTTCAAGTCACTTCTGACTTAATATGACCCAATCACAGGGGTTTCTCGGTAAGATTTGTTCAGAAGAGTTTGCCTTCCTCTGAGGCTGAGAGAGTTGACGTACCCAAGGTCCTCCAGTGGGCATTACTTTATTTTCTTGTCTTGAGTACAAGCCACATTGCAGGATATGGATCTGAAAGAGTAGTAGAAGGCATCTATTTTGCCTAATGGAATAATGATCCATTGCCTTTTACCCAGTCTGGGACTCAAGGCTGCATATAAAAGCTTTATGTAACTGAAACATATACATCTATCAGTTAAATTATAAGTTCTTAAAATAGCCATTAAAAACACAAAAATAAAGCATTGAGATTGGGGCTTATGTTGGTGGACAAATAAAAAGTATCTGGGAGTTGAATATTGGCTATACCCTTCTAGCTGCTTCAGCTAGACCAAATTAGTCTGGAAAACTGCAACTCACATCAATAATCTAAAATATACTGGTATATATTCCAAGTATGCTACATCATAACGCTAGTGGGCCTTAAGCAAGAGGGAGAATGATTGTGTCTTCTGAACTTAGTGGTGGTGGGGTACTGCAGAAATCTCAGTAAGAAAGCCAACTGTAGTAGTTAATGCCACCTGTTCACTTTAGTTCCTGCCCATGATTACCCTATATATTCATCTATAAGTCTAGACATTTTAGTTAAAAAAATAAACCCTCCAAAATGGGGATGACTTACCATGGACCAATGTGAGTACTGGACCTTAACTCTTATCAAAAAGTGTCCTTTTTGAATGTTTGGGTGGGAAAATGATGGCAGTGACCAGAAGTGGCTCACCCCAAGTTAGAATTGGTGCTTTCCCATTTCCACAGAATGATCTTAGACTTATCCATGGGTCATATGAAAATACATAATTTTCACCCCAAAACCTACCTCAAACTATATATAATGTTGACTTATAGTAGTTTATCACACATTTTAAACTGGCAATATGGCTTCCCTTTTCCTTGAAAAATGAACTAAGAATAAATTGGTTCTTTGTCTGGTCTGCAAGGGAACAAATTAGACAGGTTGTTGGGTTTAGAAGTCTCAATAATGATGTGACACTCCTGCTTGCCACTGATTGTACTATGTGCATCCACAACCAACAAACCACAAGACTTCTAGCTGACTGTGATATCCAAATGTACTCAGTGACCAAAATCAGGGCTGCAGCAATCCATTTAACTCAGCAAGTCATTCCAAAGATATGGAAGACGGCCTTTAAAGCGACCAGAAATACGCACGTGGTTATGTCTGGCAGCTGAAAAGCTTTCATAGGCTGAAAATAGAAGGAGGGTATATTCAGAGTGAAGGTTTGGAGAGAAATAAGCTGTATAAAATCTTACTGAACTGAGCCTTTAAAACAGCTGCTGCAGTAACAACAATATTAACTGTTGTTCAACCAGCTTTATATCTTTGGTTAGCTCCCTTCTCGTGCCTCTATCATGAAATATGAGCAAGATAAGTACCATTAACAAAAATTAGAGTACACTTTTTTGGGGTAGGAAGGATTTAACTTATCACAACAGTGCTAAGAACAGGCATGCAATCAGTAATAAATAGCTCTGTGTTTGGTGAGACCACACACAATAATGAGAAGGCCAGTATGAATGAAATTCTCTAAGAAAAAGGGGACAATGAAAGGTGAATCTTCGGAGCTGCTCATCAGCCCCACTTTCCCTCTATTCTCTGTGACACTCTCCTCTTGCTCCTGTTACTCATATATCAATGTCATACAGAAAAGACTGTTCAGCTACGCTTATGACAAGATGAGATGGAAGAATAGCTAATATTCTCCTCCAAAGGATTTTGTTTGAAGTTACATGAGTTCATGGGATTCCATGATTAATGGCTTCAGTGGGAAATTTTCTTGGACAAACGCTAGGCTGAGCCAAACATAATACGCACATCAGAGGATACAGCCACCCAACAAGGGGTGCCTGGGGACAAGGGAGGAAATGGCCAATTATCAGACATCCATGTAGCCATTCCTGGTCAGAAATGTGTGTGTTTTAAACCTCCACCCCTCCAGCCTTTGCATAATTTACTGCATCCTAAAAAAAGAATATGTCGGTCATTTGAAAATCTCTTTCGCATGGGCTTATTTGAGAACAACAAATATCTACAATCAGGGCTATATGTGTGTGTCCTGGCATTTTATGAAGAATAATTAAATACAAGGAGAGTCTAAATTAAAATGATAGAAATCCCTTGCTACTTTGCAGTTCGCTTTTCCCGGACTCGCTGTTTTGCAGGTTTTTGTCTCCCAGTTTATGAATGGTTCTAATCCTGCCTCCTGGCAACGATGGAGTGTGAAAGGGGGTTTCACCCTCCCCCTTGGGAGAGAGGCAGCCAATCAAGAGAGATTGTAAAGCAAAGCAGAGATAGCTAGCAAAATAAAAAGTGTGTGGTGCCTTCAAATCTCTCCTCGATCCTGCCGCACCCTCGGAACATGATATACATATATAGTGTCCTTACTTCATGGATTTCATTTTTTCCGGGTGGTCTTGGAACATAACACCCACAATAAGTGAGAAAACACTGTAAGTGTATAGAGCTTTCAAATGATTATCACCTTCTTGCTTAAATGTATAATTCTGTTTGCTTCTCTTAGGGCCCATCCACACAGTACTTTTATCTCAGGAGCTCCTGGTTCAAAATGGCAGGTGGCCAAATGACGTCTCCAGAAAATACGGGAGGACTTGCTACAAAGCACTAAAAACCGCTATGTCATACTCATGATCTTCTTAACAAAAGTAACATAGAAACAAAACCTGCAAAAAGAAAAGATACGTACCAAGATGTCCAAACAGGCAGCTTTAAGTAGAGTGATCTGGTCTGCAATTGTCAAACTTGTAAAACCAGGCAGCCGTTTTGCAAATTCCACTATTTTAATAATGCACTTTGTTGCAAGTTCACTGAATTTGTCCCAAAGCCCAAGGTCCAGTCGCACTCTATGGTCTGCACTAGAGTTCTAAAAAGGGAAAAATAAACATAAATCAGCCAATTTTCTTGGGGAAGGTAATGTAGTTGAATCTATACAACATATTAAATAGCCATTTCTATTTACAATGTCAATTTTGGCGAGATTTGCTTTTGGAATGTTTTTGTTCTTAACTCTGTCTAGTCTTACAGAAATTCCTTGCATGCTTTATATGTTGCTTATGATGAAAGGCGCCATGTGTACATAGGATAAAAACAAATGGCGGTTTTCCCAAATGCCACTCTCATCTTTCTTTCCTGTTAATTACACCATGTACACAATGAATGAAACATTCCCTGTTCGGTCACAGTGAAAGTCTGTAACTGGACCACTGGATTCCATGTCTTGGAAAAGGTCTCACATCTTCTGGGGCACAGTTTATACACAATGTGAATCCTCTTGACATCCTTCTAGTAGTTTCAGAAAATTAGTTCAAGTTAGTTTGTCTTCGCTGTGGCTCAGTGAAGACTTTACAACTCTGTCAATAAGTTATGAACTGAAGAGCCATCTGTTATGCAGCATTAAAACTACTGGGGCAGGGTGTGTGTGTATGTGCTTTTTATCTTATGGTATAATGTAAAGTTGCAAAACATTTGGTCACCAAAAAAGATGTTTCTGGTGTTTATTTAACATTATAGTGCCCAATGATATTCTGCATTCACTCTATCTTTAAATTACCGCAAAGCTGGGCATATTCCCTCAGCATCTAATAAAATATCGAAAGTACCTGGCCGTTTTACGTCACCTGCAGCTGTGAAATGTACAATCAAATAGCTCCTAGGATTTACCTTACAATGTGGAGAGGATTTTTTATTGGCACAGGGAGGGAACTATGCTTATTACTTGAAACAGGCAGGGAGCTGAAGTTGCTGTCAAGTGAGAAAATGAATGTTTGTGAAAATGAACCTTCAGCATCCTGAACAGACAGGGGAGGGTGTGTGTAAGGAAGCTAGGAGTACAGAAAGGCCACATTTGGGACAATGAGAGGACCCACCCTTTAAGCTGGTCTCATAGAATAGACAATATACTGAAAGACAGAATTTTTTTTCCATGTCAGGAGCGACTTGAGAAATTGCAAGTTGCTTCTGGTGTGAGAGAATTGGCCATCTGCAAGGACATTGCCCAGGAGGTGCCCGGATCTTTTACCATCCTGTGGGAGGATTCTCTCATATGACAAGCTGGAGCTAACAGACGGGAACTCACCCTGCTCCCTGGATTTGAACCGCTGACCTTTCGGTCAACAGGCCTGCTGGCACAAGGGTTTAATCCATTGCGCCACCAGGGACTCCTAAATGATGTCACAAGACCACTGTATATATTCATGTATAAGTTGACCACATGTGGGAGTCAAGAGTTAAGGGACAGTACTTACACTGACCTGTGGATAAGTTGACCCAGGCTTTTTGGGCTTTGACTGTTTTGACTAAATTTTCTAGATTATACAGGAGCACATAGGGTAGCTGCTGGATCCAAATGCAGGAGTACTTGTAACAACTCTTGAGACCCTTCCACACAGCCTTATATCCCAGGATATCAAGGATTATCTGAGTGTGGGCTCAGATAACCCAGTTCAAAGCAGCTATTGAGGGATTTTCTGTCTTGATATTCTGGGATATAGGGCTATGTTGAAGGGCCCTTGAAGAAAGTTAGTCTGAGGATGCTGAAACTATGTCTAGTCTTGGGCTCTTTCATACTGCACAAATGCAGCACTGTGATTCCATTTTATCTGCCATGGCTGCACCCTATAGAATCCTGGGGTTTGTAGTTTAGACAGAAAACACGAGGAGCTCCATGACTGATATTCTAGATACTCTTCTCTAAACCAGGATTCTACAAATGGAATTATGGCAGGCAAAGTGAAACCATAGTGTTATATTTATAATGTGAAACGGCCTTCAAATGTGGCCACTGCCTCCAGTTTTTTTATCGGTGTAATCTATGGATGTGAGAGATGGACCATAAGGAAAGGTGAGCCAAGCAAGATAAATGGTTCTGAACTGTGGTATTGGAGGAAAATTCTGAGAGTGCCTTGGATCACAAGAAGATCTAACCAATCCATACCGAAGGATATTAGAGGCAAAGATGAAGTACTTTGACTACATAATAAGAAGACAGGAAAGCTTGGGGAATATAATGATGCTGGGGAAAATGGAAGGAAAAAGGAAGAGGGGCCGACCAAGGGCAAGATGGATGGATGTTGTCCTTGAAGTGCCCAGCTTGGCCTTTAAGGAGCAGGGCGTGGCGACGGCTGGCAGGAAGCTCTGGCATGGGCTGGTCCATGAGGTCACAAAGAGTCTGAAGTGACTGAACGAATAAATAACAACAATCCATTGTCCATATCAGGAATGATTTTTGAAATTGTCTAATGATTTGAGATCATTAGACGTGAAGCAAGCCTAAGGAAATTACTTTAGAAAATGACAACTCCAATTTCTCAGGAAGATTTTTGCTCATGGTTATGCAAATTGGGGGATTATGGTAGCTGCAGTCCAAAGAAGAATCTTTGTCAAGCTATGGAGATGGGGAAATGAAATTGAAATTTCTCTTTAAAAGTAGGTGAATATTGGGTAAAGTGGGGGCGGGGGGAAACGAGCATTTTTAGAAACAGATTGAGGAAGAAGCACAGTTTTTCTTAAAAGTCATGCTTGGGCTTCATTTCTGACAAAGACAGGACAAGTGCGCGTGACTTTTGCTTGGACAGAACAATAATAGAAAAGGAAATTGTCCCTGAAAACATTTCCTTCAGGAGGTACGCAAATTCCCTGGCAACATTTCCTGGATGTCATATTGAGCTGGATCCCCATGTTAGGACTTTTCAAGCAGGTTGGATTCTAGGACCTAAGGGCAAACAAGGGGTTAATGGTCTGTTTTGCTCACTGAAACAAGTTTCTCCTTTCCTCAGTGCAGATAGGTGGTTAAGATTTATTTTATATTATCCTCAAGGACCTTGGTGAAATACTGTGTATTGGGGGGGGGGGATAGGGGGGAATGAGATCAAGATGTGCAGCCATTCAGGCTGTAATTAAATTTAATAGGCAGTTTATCCAGTTCCATAGAAAAATGGCAGAGCAGAGGGTTGCACAAAGCAGAGCCTAAAGCAGGAAATCATTTTACAATAGGGTATCCATCTGGAAAGAAGATGTTGCATGAAACCAGCGAGTGTGAACAAAATCTTGACCAGGATCTTATGAGCTCACTCCATCATGCTCTCCCAACACCCAGGCAAGGCAAGCGTGACGTGGCTCCTTTCAAGCCGATGCCCAGCAGCCTTCCACAAAACATAAATCTTCTTTGACTATTATGCAAGCCAAGGAGAAGAGGTAGTCAATAAAGCACCAATTTAGCTTGTTTTATCACGCTGCAAAACCCTGGGCTGAAAATGGTTATTCTTGCGAGGACTGCTAACTGGAAAGCATTTTAATGTTTGGTTTGGTAATAAACTGTGAAAAATATTGCTGGAAAAAAACACATTTTTAGCCACTTCCTTCAAGATGGAAAAATAAAATTGAGTCAGCATCGATGTACGGGCCAGAACTTGAAATATGGGCTTAATATAAAAAGGCAGGTTAGAAGCGGAAGCTTCAGGACTTGCTCTCCATGGGTCCCGAGAAGTATCAAACTGAAGGAGTTTAGCAGAATGTTTTACTATGACATAATTTCCAAGTACCTCTTCCAAGAGCATTCATGCATGCAGCTTAAGGACCACGTTTCCTATAATGCTGCAATGGAGTACATATGGTAGAATAATACTGTAAGGCACCCTAGTGACACTTTTATCAGCAGAAAAACCCAGCCATGCTGTAAAATCCAATTACAGAGCCATTTTTAAATTTTATTTATTTTTATTTTTCATCTAAATTGATCCCCTTTGGTTCTTTGTTACAATCTGCTGTATCTTTTACTAGAAATAAGGCATAAGACATTCAATGAACCGTACCAAACAAACACAAAAACTGTCTACCCCTGAATTCTACTTTGCTTGTTAGAAGTTGGAAATGTTTATTCTAGAACATGGGAATGTTAATTTCCAGCACTACATCCCCTATACTCCTTCAGAAAGCATACAGGCTAAAGGATTCTGGGAACTGTTGTGCAATAAGCTACTTCTTTTTGAAACTGAAAGGTTTGGAGATTCCCTGCAACAAAGGATGTTCTCCATGGGGTCTCATCACACTTGAGCATTTTTCCACTTCAATACACTTTAAATGTTATGACTGCCTCCTGCAGAATTCTGGATTTGTAATTTAGGGGGGCCCAGGGCTTCTCTGAATGAGCAGTTTTAAAGTCCTTCCCTAAACTACAAACTCCAGAATTCTACAGGAGGCTGTTACTGCAGAATGGATGGCCACATGTCATCCCAGAAGTATTCGGGATAGCATGTGGACAGCCAAAGGGGAAAGCCTGTTTTTTTCCCCTGCCTGTGTGGATTTAAACCCCCTTTGGAGTGGGTTACTTAAACCTGCTCTGAAGTGGGTTTAATGTATGTGTGGAACCGTCTGCAGTCACGGCATTTAAAGTGGATTGAAGCGGAAAAATGATCAAGTTTGATGAGGCCTCATCTCCCACAATGCTTGAAGTGAAATATAGCCTACAAGCCATGTGTGGCAGCTTTCCTGGAATTTCTTTATTTTTCCGACCTTTCTGCAGAACAGGAATTGTCAAGTACTTCATGGGCTGGCTAGCCAGCAGACCTAACATGGATGGTCACAGACTGCTCGGACCTTTCTTAAGATCAATTGAGGTTACACGCGTAGCCTGAACAGCAATATGATCTCCTAATCTGACGAGGACTTAAATATTTAACACAATTTTCCATCTGAAAAAGGTGGATTTTATGGACTATTTCATTCTTATGACACCTGATTGCAGGTCTCTTCTTTATTTCTTCTTCTTCTGCCTCTGTAGCTAGAGCACAATCTTGGATTATGCTTATATTGATAGATATTCTCTGAAACTTTTTTGATATTAGATTTGCATCATAGCTTTTGCTACATCTCTCCTCTCTCTATTAATGCCACCCCATTTTTTAGATTTTTATTCCCTGATGAAACACCATATGATTCTCTGATGCAACATGTCCCAATCCTGTGTACTTTGACTTGCTCACTCCAGGTATTGCAATGTTGGTATGTCCTATTTTTCATTTTACTATGTTTCATACCTCTCACATTCCATTTTTCTATATGCATTGTGCAGCTTTGGACTTTCCTTTCACCTCTAAGGAAATCAACAGCTGAACTTCCTTTCAGCTTGAATCTAGTTGCATCATTAGCCATGGTTCTACGCACAGTTGTAATCTGCTGTTTCCCAATATCTCACTGACTGTTATCTCACCTGGAAATGTCATCTTTTGGCGTTTGTTGTTGTTCATTCATTCAGTCGTCTCCGACTCTTCGTGACCTCATGGACCAGCCTGCGCCCCCTGTCAGCCGTCACCACCCCCAGCTCCTTCAAGGTCAATCCAGTCACTTCAAGGATCCCATCCATCCATCTTGCCCTTGGTTGGCCCCTCTTCCTTCTTCCTTCCATTTCCCCAGCATAATTGTCTTCTCTAGCTTTCCTGTCTCCTCATGATGTGGCCAAAGTACTTGTCTTTGCCTCTAATATCTTTCCCTCCAGTAGCAGTCGGGCTTTATTTCCTGGAGGATGGGCTGGTTGGATCTTCTTGCAGTCCAAGGCACTCTCAGCACTTTCCTCCAACACCACAGCTCAAAAGCATCGATCTTCCTTCGCTCAGCCTTCTCTAAGGTCCAGCTCTCACATCCGTAGGTGACTACAGGGAATACCATGGCTTTGACTAGGCGGATCTTTGTTGCCAGTCTGATGTCTCTACTCTTCACTATTTTATCGAGACTGGACATTGCTCTCCTCCCAAGAAGGAAGCGTCTTCTGATTTCCTGGCTACAGTCTGCATCTGCAGTAATCTTTGCACCTAGAAATACAAAGTCTGTCACGGCCTCCACGGTTTCTCCCTCTATTTTCCAGTTGTCAATCATTCTTGTCTTTTGGCGTTATTTTTTGTTTTATTTTGGATTGTCATGTTATAAAGGTTTCAAGGTAGATGGCTTCAGGAGTGGTTTACCATTCCTTCCTTCTGCACCATCTGATGTTTCTGAGAGATGCTCCATCAAGATCAACCCCCACACTATTGCACTGATATGACAAGAAGCAGGATGTTCCCATGAGGAAAACATGCATGATGCTTTGTGCTGCTTTCTTGCAATTCGTCTTTTGCATTTCCTTAGAAACAGCTTTAGATCTTTTATACACAGTAGAGAACCTCTGTCCAGAAGATAACCGTGTTAACTGCTGTGCTATCATCATCCACTGTAATAATGTAATATAGTACATACAGCTTTTTTGCTATCAATTTGTTGATTCTCTCTAGTTGAGGGCACTATGCACCATGATCTTGACATTTAAGAAGGACCAGAGACATGCTTTCCCTGACTATTGAAGTATTCCTGTCCCTCATCACACATCCTGGTATTTCTTATGGAAAACATGGTCTGTGGACACATTTATTTTTGGCAGTATCACATCCATATTCTGTCAACATCAATAGGTCCTCATTATACATTTCCAAATGGACAGAATCTTACCGTAGTGTATTTGCCTAGCTGACAGAGTGATGGGAACGTTTCCTGATGAGATTTCCTTATTTTTTCTGTGAGATCATCCAACTCTGCTGTCATTTCATAGTTCTCCATAAACTCCTGTTTTAAAGGCTCCTTCTTTTTCTTGTTCCTGTCATTTCTGACAGCTGGAGGCAAGAAAAGAGGCAGTATAAATACCGTTACTTAGACTAAGCTACACTAAATCCAATAGTTCTTGATTACAGCAATAAACATTAACAAAGTCAAACATATGGAGAACACTGAAAGAAAATTAGTGATTTTGTTCAATAGCCATTTACAAAATTTGAGCCCATGCGATTAACTGAGTTAGGCTACAAATCATTCTCTTTCCAAGCCCCAAGACTCTCTGCAGGCACATACATTGGGAAATGTTCATTTTAACACTAGAATATCTCATACTTAAACCAATCCCCTGAAAAATCCCTTCCAAACATTTGCAAACATTATTTAAAAATTTAAAGTGTCAGCAAGAACCAATGAATAAAATTAAATTAGAATAGAAACATACTGAATCAGATTATTGGTGTATTGTCTATTTATCATGATCTGCAGTGGCTCTAAGTATTTTAAATAGGAGTCTTTCCCAGTCTGTGGAAATTTCATAGATTGAACAATGCAAAGTTGATCTTTGACATTTCCCTCAAGAAAAAGATGAAATGAAAAAAAAATCTTTCAGCCTTCTATGGATTCTAATTGTCAAGAGGCAAGTGATCTTGTCAAGCAAGAACATCACACTAGGAAAGTTTTATTATATATATACATATGCATGTTCAAGTTTCCTGTCAACTTATGGTGACCCCATGCATTTCGTATAGTTTCCTTAGGCAAGGAATACTCAGAGGTGATTCTGCCAGTTCCTTGCTCTGAAATATAGCCCACAGCATCATTGGTGGTCTCCAACCCAAGTACTAACCAGAACTGACCCTGTTTAGCTTCCAAGATTAGACAGGATCTGGGGCCTTTAGGGTATTTAGGCCCCTAAAGCTGCATTACAGCACCTAAATTAGACTGTCAAAGATTTTGAGGCGGAAATTCTGTCCTCTAGTTCTGATTAGCAACAGCAAGGTCATCATCCCTCTCTGTTCCCTTTTCCAGAATAAATCAAATCTGATTGATGGACCAAGAGGTGGCAGAAGATACTTCCACACCCAATGCCACTCGATGTGTGAAACCTGTGCTCTTCATACAGTTTCTTTTTTCTCCCCTGATCCAACACTCTGGAGAAAACGGCACATGCAAGAACAGCAGCTGAATTTAAAGGGTGAGATAGACCTTTAAATGACCAGATCCCAAGCTGTTTGGGCTTTAATATAAAGACCAAGGTAGGTGGCACTTTGCTAGATGAGAGAGAACTAGAGGGCCATTTCAAATCTCCTGCTTACTATTATCAATTAATATGTGCTCCCTTCTTGCTGCATCTCTACTCTTGTTCTACATGTAAAGGAAACTAGTACTGTACTGTGAACATCACTATACTGTATTTAATCATGCATCCTTGGCAGAAAAATGCTATCATGTTATGCTAAGGAATTCGGAAGTTAAAGGCTGCATTTCAGTATGGATGTTTGCATGGTTGTAATTTCCATTTCTATATAGGATTATGATCCTTGGTGACTAAAACTGCACGCTTTATGTCCCCTTAGAGACAAAAACTGAATGTGCCAAGAGCTTCTGTAGGCAACATTCAATACGTGAAATGGACTGCAAATGTGACAGGAAAATATGTGCACAGAATAAAACACTCTGGAAGATAAGCTATATTAGCCAGGTGAGAACTACAACACACTCTTGCTGATAGAGCTATATGCCTAGCATCAGTACAACACCAAACCAACATTTAAATCAAATCCTCAAAGTTCACTAGAGAATTTTCCCAAACCTATCTAGCTTCCGCACTTTGGTCCGTTCTTTGCACTTTTGATATGTTAATGGTTAAGTCGAGCCCTATGTCTCTCGCACTTTCCCAGTGCTCTATGTAGGAATTATTGCACATAGGAATTATAAGCCCAAGCCCAGCATTTGATGCTCAGCCTTGATACGATAATTATGATGTTGTCTGATTATGATGTTTTTATTGTTTTTTGTTTATCGATTGTATTTTCTGTATCTGTATTCCTGGGCTTGTCCCTTTGTAAGCCATCCTGAGTCCCCTCGGGAGATGGAGGCAGGGTATACAAATAAAGTTGCTGTTGCTGCTGCTGTTGTTGTTATTATTATTATTATTATTATTATTATTATTATTATTATTATTACCAATCCAATAGTCCTGTGTCAATTTCTTGCTGCTTTGCAATGAGGTTATGATTAGGAAGTGGCACAGGTATTTAGGAACAAGTGAACAGGAAATAGCACAACAGCTTACAGTTGCTCACAACACAGATGAGCTCTGGATTTTCAGGGAAGATCTGGAGTATTCTGCAACTTCTGTTAATGTGGTTCAAGGCCAATGTTAATCTGAATCAGTTCTATGTGCCATGCAGCTGCCACTGAGCTGATTTACCCCGTTTTCGGGATAAAGGGTTCATATAAATGGGGCTCCTTGTTGCAGTGGCTAGGCAAACACTCATAATACATGGTTACTTTGCATTAAGCAAAATAATTGCTCTTGGTGGTTTAAGGTGGTGGGTCTGGGCCATCCTAAGTTTAGTCAGTGTGCAAGGGGGCATCTCATACCTACTTGTCCAATGGGTTTTCCCAGGCTGCACTGCAACCTCTGCAACCTAAAGGATCACTGATTGACTGGAAGGAAATGTGTGAACTGAGAGAGCTCTTTTGCATTAGAAGCAGACTCTTAGATATGACAGCAAGTTTTAAATGGGATTTTGTCTAACACCTGCTGGCAAAATTTCAGTGCAGCTCCCTAGAATGGGAGTGATACAATTGCAGGAATCACACCGCATTCCTGAAAATGCCTCCATGGGAATCTTTGGAAATAGCAGTACTTTTCCTCCACTTCCATTCACCAGCTCCTAGTGAGTCACCAAATTAAGAGTGAAGGACCTGTGACTCTCCAAATTGTAGTTTGTTACAATCAGTGATGATTCAATAACTGAAGGGCCGGAGGTTCCTAACCACCATAGTAGACATATATGTGGTAGATGCTATTATCACTGTTTTCTCCCACTGAAAACACCAAAAATGATGTTTTTCACCCAGTGATATGAACTATTTTAGTTACGAGCATGGTCATAGAATGAATTAAATTCATATGTCAAGGTATCACTGTATATTGGATCAGGTCCACAGGCTTGTCCTCTTCCACTAAAAGTGGCAACAAACACTTGCAAGGAAGTGCCACTTGCACATATTTCTATGAGAGTATTGAACCATTTGCCAAACAGAAGGTCTCAGCAGCTACTTAACTCAATAGCTTTGAACAGCTTGCAGAACACAAACATCTTATTTAGGCCAAGCTTGTGAACTGTTGCCAAGAACTACAGCTACTATATGATTCATAGGATGGGAACTGGTTTTTTTAATTTCTTTTCTGCCATTGGGTGATTTTGGTTTTATTTTGCAGCAATGCCTACACCCCTTTCAGCTGGTATGATTTCCACCCCATTAGGTTACAAGAAGCCTGAACAGAGAGTGGTTAAATATCGCAGAAACAACCAAAATGCTTATTGGTTATACTCTTTAATGCAATAATGATATCATTAGAAAATAAATGTTATTATTCTGAATGAGCTCTCCTTCTTTGATATCAATGAAGACTGAGACTAAATACCTAGTAGAAAATCCCTCACTAGACTCAGGGGACGTGCTTTTCCTACTTCTTACTGTGTAGGCATACACAGGATTTCACTGTAATCAAGTAAAATCTGACTAATTTATCTGCCAAAATTTATTGAAAATAATATAGTACAATTTTGTATGATATAAAGAACTTCTGGATTCAAAACCCACTGCATTTATTCAGTGATAACATTAATTTAATGCAAAAGTCAATGGCAAGACTCCTTTCCATACTGGGGAATTAAATAAACACACAAAAAACAGTAAATTCTAAGATAGTGTTCCCAAAGTGACTCTAACTGCCATGCTGTGCAAATACAGAATATGTGATTATGCTGTATATTGTATTTTATCTAAGTTATATCTTCTCAAGCTACTTATCTCAGCACAAATCCCCAGAGCAAGATCATAGGTTTTAATGAAGTCATACCAACTATGAATCTAGCTATTCTATTTAACGTGCCTCAAGTAATGTTGATATAAGAATTTCTTACTTTTATAGCCATTAAATACTTAGGGCTCAAGTGTTACAATATTTCATCGTTTCCATGAATGCTATGTATACAGATGTAGATTAAAGGAAAAACAATTCTTCTGGTTGTTTGATCTTTCTTTCTTTCTTTCTTTCTTGCTTGCTTGCTACTATTTATCTCATCTTATCTAACTTGTCAAACAATATATAGTGTTCCAAATAACTATACTATTTAATTATTGTTTCATTACAATTGATTATTTTATTCATATGCACAGTTTCTTGATCAATTCATTTGTTGACTATATTTTTATCTCATCTTTTCATTACAATAAACAATACTAAAGCAGCTTATGAAAATAGACATAATCATTCTCATTCTTCTTATTTGTCCTTTACCTGCTCAATATGCACAATTATACTCTCACACTATGGCTATATTGTGATCCATTGGAGGAGTACCCTATTGGTGACCTGAAAAGATGACACTCTCTTACTCAAGAGATAATCATATTCAGATAGTACAGTATTTCTTCCTAGATTTCCCTTAGGATGCATCTACACCAGGGGTCCCCAAACTAAGGCCCGGGGGCCGGATCCGGCCCCCCGAGGGCATTTATCCGGCCCGCAGGGTGTGGAGAAGGTGGGGGAGGCGGCGGGCAAAGCAGCTTCGGAGCCGCTTCGTCCTCTGCCTCCCTGGGCCCAGCTGGCTCTTCTCCTGCCGGCGGCAGGAGAAGGGAGGAGGCTGCGGGTGAAGCAGCTTCGGGGCCGCTTCGTCCTCCTCCTCCCTGGGCCAAGCCAGCTTTTCTGCCTTTGGGAAGGGGCCACGAGCTGCGTGCATCCGCAGAGCAAAGCCAGGCGGAGCAGCAGCCGCGTCCCGGGCATGGTGCGCCTCCCGAGCCTCTGCCTGTCAGGACG